TATCCCAAAGAGACTGGAATGAATGCCAAGTGGTTGGCATGGTCCACAGGGTAAGTCCAAGATCTCACATGAGCTCTCATCACAGAAGAGTTCCCCATCACACACAGCATGGCCCTGGCTCCCAAAGGACAGCTTTGGTTTGTAAAAAAGTTAAAGGCAAAAACAAACCCCAAACCCCTATAACAGTAATTTCTCACAAAACTCCAAGACCTCAAGCCAAAACGCAGACTGAGGAAAGAGCCAAGAAGCATCCAGAGAACATGCTGGCATGGTATTAGATTACAGCCCTCTGTTCCCAATATCACTTTGGTGCTGGATTCATAGTGATTCCATCCACATCAAGCATGAAGCAAGTGATACTTAAGGTGTTAGCCTGAAGGTTCAATGTTAATGATGCTAGTGATGGTGAGACTGCAAAGCGCGTCTCTTTGGATATATAATTCAAAATGTGCAAATGAACATTTGATATTTCGGGGTCACAAAGAACCTGTAACACCATACCCTGTGCATAGGTATGTGTATGCTTGTACCAGGAGAGTGGATTTGTGCACTGGTGGGAGGGATGGGGAATCCACAGAAAAGTCTCCTCTGAGATAGAAGCTTCAGCTTCTTTTGCATCACAGAGATGCCCTGAGATTCTCCAAACTGTCTCAGCACATGGACAAAGCACAGATCCACTTCCCAGGCCTGTGCTGTCCAACACAGGGCTGTTGTCATCTAAACTAGTCAAAATAATTCAAGTTGGAAGTTTAGTTCCTCAGCTGTACATGCCATATTTTTTTAAGGGCTCAACAGACATCTATGCTTAGCAGCTACCCTATAAAACAACTCCCAATGGAGAATATTTTCATCAACCAGAAAGTTCTCCTGGACAGTTATGACCCAGACATACCGGCTGCCCTTACATTGTTTCAGGGGCTGGAGGTGGGCCACTTCTGAGAGCTTCATTTTTATGCAAATAATCAGAACAAGACTTTAGTCTCTCTAAAGTTTGCATTTGTTCTTCACTTTTTAGGAGTCCAGGCCCTTTAAGAAAAATGCTGCAAACAATGACTCATCTCCTCTATGAAATGAACTTTCAAAAAAAGGAACATTTTTCCTATACTTTTTGGGAGATATTCTAACCTCCTAAAGCCTGCTAATGCGCCTGTTCAAAAACATCTGCTCAAGAAAACCATGATCATCATCAGAAACACAACTTGTCTGTAATGACAATTTTGACTTCACCCTGTCCTAAGCTATCTACCTGTCAGTCTTATTTTTTCTTATACTTTAAGCTCATTAATGGTAAAAATCATCATCAGTTTCATATCATCCTATCTGCGTAAGGATGAGCTCTGAAAACTCTCTGGGTTCAAATACCAAGGTAATTTGTCCTCCTCCAGTCTTAGAGCATCCATTTACCATCTGATTATCACTTATATCTGGAGCTACTGAATATGCTATAATTTCTCTGTGTGTGCATGTGCTCAGTCGTGTCCAACTCTTTGCAATCCCATGGACTATAGCCCACCAGGCTCCTCTGTCCATGGAATTTTCCAGGCAAGAATACTGGAGCAGGTTGCCACTTCCTTCTCCAGGGGATCTTCCTGACCCAGGAATCAAACACACATCTCTTGTTCCTCCTGCATTGGCAGGCGGATTCTTTACCCACTGCACCACCTGGGAAGCCCTATGCGATAATTTACTTTTAATGATATAATTACCTTGTGAAGCACAAATGCTGAAATGCTTACAACCCTATGAAACAAGAATGTGCTTTACAATTTGTGCAAAGTGGAATGTAAAAACAGTGCTCACATACAATGTGAACAGAAAGGCAGTTTATGCACTAGTTTGTAACACAGTCAGCTTTGCCTGATGGTAGAGGTGACCAGATGAATAATCTTAGAAAGGAAAATGCACAGAAAGTGAGATTACAGGTTCCAAAGTTTCTATTGTCAGACACTACAATTCTTACAGTTCATCTGTGATGCCCAAGCTCTATCTAAACTCACTTCAAAGTCTTCAAGTAAAATGACTTTTATTTTTATTTTCTAAATGTACTAAAAAGATTCAAGAGACACAAAGTCTGAAAGTAAGAAGTAAAGCTGATTCAGTGACTTATTTCTAGAACATCCTGGTTGCATGATATCAACGTTCACCTTCGTCTCAGCAATGAATCAATATTTTGTAGATAGTCTTTTAGGACAATGGAGAGAACACAGGTTAAAAAAAAGTAGAGAGAGGGACTTCCCTAGTGGTCCAGCAGTGAAGAATCCACCTTGCTATGCAGGGTATGAGGGTTCAATCCCTGGTCAAGGAACTAAGATCCCACGTGCCTCAGAGCAACTGAGTCTGCTCACAACTAGAGACTCCATGAGCGGCAAGGGAAGATCCTGCATGATGCAGTAAATATCCTGTGAGCTGCAACTAAGACTTACTTGATGCAGCCAAATAAAGAAATATTTTTTTTTTTAAGTAGAGAGAGAAAGAGGAGCCATACTTGCCTAAACAGAACTGAGTTTTTAAAAAACTTATTAACTTTTTAACAGTATAAGTCCTAGGGGAAAAGAGAATTGCAGAAAATAAGAAAATGCAAATAGTAGGCAGATAATAAACCTAAAAAGCATCCCCTTAGGGCTAGGAACGAAGTGTTTTAAATTCTATCTTTTAAATATTTAAGGACACATGTAGGGTTGAAGATGAAAAGCTTCAGGGAACTGGAGTATGGTGAGTCCATTAGAACTTAAGCTCCATGAAGGCAGGGATTTTGTTTTTTCAGTGTCCTTTACCCAATACCTGTAACCAGTCCCTGGCACATAGTAAGTGCTCAGAAAATAACTGCTAATAGACAAAGTGCCCAGCCTACTCCTGTTGTGACCAGGAAAACTGGGTCTCAGGCACACCTCCCAGACTTGGCTTGCTGACCATTCTGGGGTCTCATATCAGGAGAAAGGCAATGCCCTAAAGAGGGTAAGACTACGTCAAGTTAGAGAAAAGCCAATTTCAGTATTTAAATGAACCCAAGAGAAATGACCAGAACTTAACCTGGGGAAAAAAAAAAAGGTAGAAAATTCCAGAAAGAAAGGACTGAAGACAAAGAATGGTGATCAGACCAATGGAGAAGGAAGAAATCGGCTGCACATTTCAGGAGAAGCAAACACATGGAGAAAACCCTTTAAATGCATATGGATTCTCCCTCAAGATAGTTCTCACCCTCTCCTGCTCTTCCAAATCTTGAACCACCACCTTCTAGATGCAGGGTTTCCTTTCCAGGGAAGGCTGACATATTTTCAAGCTCTGAAATTTTAGGATTATAGAATCCAAATAAGTAGAAGGGGCTTTAGAAATCCTCTAATCCGGCGCTCATTTGAATAAATGAAGCCCAGGGAGGTTAAGAACGTACCCAAGGTCACATAGCTGGTTATTAGTCAACACCAGGGCTGCCCCCTACTTAATTCTGCCATTGCCCCTAGCATTCCTCAGGGTCACACATCTTCAATATCCATGTGAGATTTTCCTTCTCCACTCAGAGCAGGGAAAATGCTTCCTGAGAGCTCTGGGAGGGAGCCCGAGGGTGGGGAGAGCGAGCAGCTTGTTTGCTATCGTAGATTTTACAATATTCCACCCCCCACCCCGCCCTGCCAATTTTATTCCCCATCCTTGCACCTTCGTCCTGCAGCTCACTTTGGAATATTTAAATATTTAAGAACTATGAGTTGCCTGCAAGCTCTCTGAAGTCTCTGGAGGGAAGAATGGATACCAACCCAAATAAATAAATTCCATCTCCCTGGGAGGCTCCTGTGCTGGGGAACAAGCTTCACAGGAGGCTTGCTCACCCTGGTCCCCTGCATCATGGCAATAGTCATCCAGTCACGGAACTGTAAAATATTCAACGTGTTCGATCAAAAATGTATGAAATCGTAAAGCCAAAGGATTATGTGTGCGCGCCTGAAATGAACATCTGGTGTAAATTAAGACCATGAGCATAATTTGCAGAGCTGTCTACCTTTTAGTGGCTTGCCCCATTCTTTTCTTCTTCTGTGTATTCTGCTTAGTCGCTGTTATGTCCGAATCTTTGTGACCCCATAGACTGTAGCCCGCCAGGCTACTCTGTCCGTGAGAATTATCCAGGCAAGAACACTGGAGTGGGTTGACATGCCCTCCTCCAGGGGACCTTCCCAAGCCAGAGACTGAACCCAGGTCTCCTGTATTGCAGGCAGATTGTTTCAAGTCTGAGCCTCCAGGGAAGCCCTAATCTGATTCAAATCTACAGAGTCATGAGCTACATTAGGTATCCAACACAATACTGTCAACAAATGACAGACGCTTGAATATCATCTGTCTTTTGGTTTTGTCATACTGTTAAACGAATAGAGGAATTGCAGAATTAAATGAATATAGCTGAAATTTGGTGACCATTCTAGCATATGATAAGCTGAAATGTCACCTTCAATTTAAGAAACTCTCTAAGAATATCTGTACACAAAAACAGGACTAAAATTTTCAGAAGTTATTTTTTCTTTTATAAGTGATTTCTTTTTTTTTTTTTTTCGTGTTGTTTCACCAACTAAGAGATTACTGCGTTTTAAGATACAGCAACTATATAACAGTAGGAGAACAAACAAAATACAATAGAAAAATGAAAATCTAACAAGTGCAGAACAAACTGATATTCCGCATAAACCATCAACCACTTGATTTCATCTACTATTAGAAACCAGTTTATCAGGGGAAAGCGCGAACCCAGTCCCCCACTACCACAAATTATGCAGTCGAGTTTCCCACATTTGGGGAAATCGTAGGGGTCAGCACATCCGGAGTGCAATGGATAAGCCTCGCCCTGGGAAAACCACCTTTGTGATCATGGTATCTCCCCTGCCAGGTAAGTATAAGTGATTTCTTAATTCAACATATTTTAAGCTGCTACTGAAAATCAATAGCTTTCCTGTTTGAGTTTTGGTTGGAGTGGCTTGTTCATTGTTGAGTGTGTAACATGTGTGCAAATACAGTATGTGTCTAATTTAAAATTTTGGTTATATGTGGTAAAATTAGATACAGAATTTTCAGAATTGTAAAAAGACCATGCCTTGAAATATTTAAACCATTTGGAGTCTTAAAAATATAAAAATATTCATACTATATTTCTGTTTAGTGACTGTATATATCTGAACCTAAGAGTTCTGTCTACTTTGCATACTCAGAACATTACTGAGAATTTGGAAGGAAATAAGAGACCTCTCATTAACCAAAACACCTCATGTACTGGGTGGGAATGTGAACTGGTGCAACCACTATGCAAAGCAGTATGGAGACTCCTCAAAAAGTAAGATTTACCACATGATCCAGGTATCATATGATCCTGGGTATTTATCTAAAAAATATGAAAACACTAATCAGAAAAGAAATATGCACCCTTCTGTTCATCCTAGCATTATTCATGGTAGCCAAGATATGGAAGCAACCTAAGTGCCCATCAATGATTAAAGGGAAAAAAATGTGATACGCAAACACATACTGGAATACTACTCAGCCATAAAAAAGAATGAAATCTTGCCATATGTGATGACACAGATGGTCCTTGAGGGTATTACACTTAGTGAAATAAGTCTGATGGAGAAAAATACCATATGATTTCACTCATATGTGGAGAATAAAAAAACTAACTAAATGAAAAAACCAAACAAAAACAAACACATAGGTGCAAAGATACAAAGAACAGAGTAGTGGTTACCAGATGGGGAGGAGTGGGCAGGATGAAATAGGTATGATGATGGATGGAAACAAAATTTTTGGTGGTGAGCATGCTGTAGGGTATACAGAAGTTGAAAAATAATGTACACATGAAACATAAAATATTATAAACCAATGCTACTTCAATAAAAAATAAAAAAAAAACAGTTCCAAATTATAGGTACATTATAAAAGCCCTTTGAGTGAGAAACTAATTTTTCTTTCTTATGCATAATTCTAACAATACAGGTGATATAGGATATAAACTCTGATGAAGCAAGTCAATAAGCTCTGAAATCCAAATGAATATATTCCATCTGAAATGAACAGGTTGTACAATTAATTCAATGTATAACCAGCAGCACAAGAATTTTTATCTTAACGTGGACCCTCAGAAGATGAGCTGTGCAGATGATTCAGAAAACAAAGGCAAGAGGATGGCCCACGCACACAGCCATCCAGGGATGCCCAGGGTCTCACAACCTTACTACATCCAAGGTGGCATCCTGAGACAGAGATGATCAGAGGGAAAGCTCAGCGAGGTCAGAGCACCCGGGAGACGAGCGGGTCTGGGAGGGAGAAGGAGCTCCTGGGAGTCACGGGCGTGGAGGGATGGGTGGGTGGTGGGCCAGAGAGCGAGAGCTTGAGGTCAGGATGAGCTTTATTTAGGATGCAGGACTCGAGGAGGAGCCTGCAGAAAGGGACCAGACATTGGAAATAAGAGAAATAGTGGCAACAACGCAGGCAAAGCGTGGGAGGGAGGGTGTGAAAGGCACAAGGAACTGAGTCACTTTCCCGGGCTCCTTCCAATCCCCTGACCTGGTTGCTTCCATTTTGAGAGACATTTACAACCACGCTCCTCAAAGTCGGTCCTCAGACCAGAGGCGTGAGCATCACCTGGGCGCTGGCTTGCTGACTCTCTCCCCACCCAGACCTACCCAACCACGACCTGCACGTTAACAAGAGTGCAGGTGATGTTCAGTCAAGTTTGAGACACGCTGACTTAAAGCGGTGGTTATGAATGTAGGCATTGAAGTGAGATAGATCTGGGTTCCAATCCAGTTCTACCTTGACCCCACGATACGTGCCCTTAGGCCCTAAGCCTCAGTTCTCCTCCTCTGTAGAACAGAGAGAATGATAGTATTATGTCTCAGGGGCCCTGGGAAAACTTAAGCGAGGTCATGTAAGGAAAAAGCATGGCCTTAAGGCTGGCAAACGGTAATGATATTGTTTTTTGTTCATCCCTTCCAGCCACCTTGGATAACAGCTCTGTTCTGTCTGCATCTGAGCCCCTGTAGGGAATGAGTTCACTAAAGATGGGGAACACTCATTCAATCATGCGATCTGTACCCAGGTGTGCAATATTGAGATGAAACCCTCAACACAGCACATGCTGACATGAACACAGGGCTGGGACATGGGCCACTCAATGACCCACAGCAAACAGGAAAGCGCTTTCTTCAACTCTGTGTACACAAAAGCCAGTTATAAATGGGTTATGAACTTGCTTGGGATTAAAGGATCAACTTTCAGAAGAGAATAAGCAAGTAACGAGGTGAAATACACCCCTCTTTCAAAACCTCCTGCATCAGTGCATGGCCGTGAGAAAGGGGGACAGAGGTCCTTTGGAACCCACATCCAGCTGCTGTACCCCTCCTCTGGAGGCCAACCACCCCGAGACGCTTCACCCTAGGGATGAAGTTTAATGCTCAGAAAAAGCACCTAAATCAAATCACACAAGATGAGTTTCTTCATTTTCGGCAAAACTCCAATAATGAAGTGGCTGATTTCATCGCATGCACCTTAATTTCCTGTGTTGGCAAAAGAGCATATACAGAAACCCCAGCAGGCTTGTAATAGGAGGACGAGTCTTTCTGCTTGCATTATTAGATACGGGGGGGAAAAAAAAACAGAACTTAGAACACAGAACACCCACTTCTGTTGTGAACAATAATGGCAAGAGTAGTTTATGCAGCTAAGTTCTGATATGAAGAATCCACAGGTCATTTCAAGGCATTCAAGCAGCTCACATCTGCGGAACAGCCACTGAGCAATGGGTGCTGGGACCCAAGTGCCTCATTGGGCACCCCCTACAGAGGAAGGGGGCCCCAGAACACAGTGTCAGGGTCCCATGGGATAAAGCACAGGCTTAAGTCAAGGTCCCAGAACCCAGGGGCAGAAGGTCAGAGGAGGCTTCTGGGAAAATCTCCTTTGAGATCACTTCCCTGGCAAGCAGGGGAAGGCAGAATATTTCAGGGAGGGGTCCCAGCAAAAAGAGTGGCATGAAAGACCCTGAAGGGGAGGCCGAGGAGCTGGGCTTTAGCCTTTAATCAGTGGGAAACTGCAAAGTTTGGTTTTTGCTTTCCTCTTGGTTTGGCTTCCCTGGTGGCTCAGATGGTAAAGAATCTGCCCGCAACGTGGGAGACCTGAGTTCGATCCCTGGGTTGGGAAGACCCCTGGAGAAGGGAAAGGCAACACACTCCAGTAATCTGGCCTGGAGAATTCCATGGACAGAGGAGCCTGGCAATCTAGTCCATGGGGTCGCAAAGAGTCGGACACGACTGAGTGACTCTCACTCACTCAGTCACTCCTCTTGCTTTAGCAAGGTCATTCTGAAGATGGATAGGACAGCGGAGGACATGGGGCAAAAGGGTGATGCCATCATCCAGGTAAGGGGAAGGGGCAGGGAGGCCCAGGAGGTGTGGGGACAGAAGCATCCTTTCAGAGACTGACTCATCTGTCTTGGTGACCTATAGGGAGAGTGACCATGCAGCTTCCGGCTCAGAGGGAAAAACTGCAGGAAAGTTCCAGATCAGGGAATTTGCCTGGTCACAGGGCAGCCCCCAGATTAGTGTATCAATACTCCTGGCAACAAAGAGCTGCCTCCGGTGGTCGCTCCCACAGCTTTCCATGCAGCCTCTGACCCTGAACACTGCTGCTCTCTTGGACATCCTTGCAAAAGCCAACAGCCTTCTTCTATGGATATAGTTTCTGAACTGTAAAGTTTTAAATGACCTTAGGTGTTGACAAAGATTTTCATTCCGAATGGAAATTCAAAAATCTTACTTGTTTCTTGTTACCAAGAAACAAGATGTCCTAAAAGTACCAGCAGAGCTATCTGTGTGCGCTGAGTACAATAGACGTGAGCTGGGCACTTGACTGAATGCTGCTTTGAATAGTATCCTTGTGGCTCCAGAGTTAGCATTTCCTTGGGGGAGGACGAGAATTGTCCAGGAGGAAACAAGATGAGCAAGCCACCTTTCTGTGCCCACCTGTGTCACCTTCTCAGAGGATAGACAAGGATGATTACTCCTGGCAGGACACCCACTACTTGGGTTTCCCAAGAGTCCTCCTGGGCTGATGAATAGACGCAGTCCCAATATGCCTAGCTCATGCTGCTCTGCCCCAGGATCTGGAGGATCACGGACACCCTGCAGTTTTTCTCAGCAGGAACACCACCAGCATTTTGGCCAGGGCCATGCTCTACCTTACCACATGGACTGTCCCCCATTACAGGGCATTTACAGTTGTAGCCACATCCCCTCAAATGCCAGCCATAGTTATCACAAAAACCAGAATCATAACCAAGCATTTCCAAAAGCCCCCAGGGTTGTGGCACTCAGTCTGATTGAGAACCACGGCAGCATTCACCGATGAGGCTCATCTCTATAAATATTCTGTTTTTCCACCTGACAAAAATAATTACTGCCCCTACTGGTCCATCTGATACAGTATAAAGAAACCATCTTTAAAATAAAGAAATAAAAACAAAAAAAGAAACCATCCTTTTTTCAGCACAAGAAAATCACCAAGCTAAATTACAAACAGACCACAGTTGTCTCTAGAGCTTTACAAGAATAATATGGCATTATTTTCTTGGAGAACAAAAAAGTGAAATACAGCCCCAAACCTAGAAACTAGAGTGAGATTTAAAAAATAAATAAATAAATCCTGAAAAATCAGAGGTTCTATAAATTAAACTTAAAGAATCAGAGGACAAAGGTAAAGAACCCTCAAAACAAAGACCATACAAAAGGAACAGTGATGATTTATATTGGGTTGGCCACAAAGTTCGTTTGGGTTTTTCCATAAGATGTTACGGAAAAACCCGAACTTTTTGGCCAACCTAATATTTCCACATGGATTAATAATAGGAAAGAAATAAAACTTGACCTTCTGAACTCCTCCTCCATACATGTGATACAATGATTGAAGTACTCTGTATTGTGAATATGCTATTAATTCCAAGGTTTCAAGTGCTTAACGTTTAGACAGGAGTACCTTCTAGACTGTAGGCTGAATTGTTAGTATCAAGCTTTCTGTAACCATAAAGTAAGTTATTTAAAAAAAAAAAAAAATGCAATCATTCCAAAACCAAAAAACATGCCCAAGGGTACCTACAGAAGTATGCAACAACTAGCACATACTGGCAGGAACATTCCAGTGTTTGACATCTACAAATCCTTCGGAAGCATGCTCAGACAAATGATACTTAGGAAAAAAAAACAAAACTGCATTTAGATTTATAGGAAGGGTTTTCACTTACTTCAAATTTCTGTACAATCCTTGTTCCTCTAAGTTAAAGGGGGGAAAAAAATCACACTAATTCCTTATTTTTCTAATTAAAAAAATAAAACACGTTATATCCTCTCATTCGGCTTTGGTTGTCCTCAAGTATTCTCTGTGTGTCTCCTTTCAAAGAATACTACTTTCAAATTCTAAACAAAAAGCAAAATATCAAAAGTTAGCCCAAGGAACACTGTACAAAATCAAATACCACAACGCAAACAAGGCAACTGCATCTATCAGAAGTGATGATTCAGAAGAGGATAAATTTAGAATGGTGCTTTCCAAATGGCGTTTGGGTGCCAAATGCAATAAAACAGGTGAAGGCTACATCCCAAAAGTTTCTCTGAAAAAAGATCGCCAAAATATTATCAACAAGTGTCTTCTTTTTGAAGCTGTCGGTCCCTTGGTGTCCTTGATGCTGAACTTCTGCAATCTGGCCTTGGTGTGGCCATCCATTCCTGGGTAAATCCAAGTAAAACCTGAGGACACTTCAGCCTCTAAGGACGCTGTCAGAAGCAGTGGAGCAATTCCACATGAGCCGGGCCTTTTATGGCCTGAACTGGGAGAGCCTTGATCTCAGCTCATCTACCAGAAATAGCTCCTGAAACTCAGAGGGGCCCATCAGCTGTTGCAACAGGCCTGGCCAGTGGCAACTTTAAGTGCAATGAGAATTGTCACATTGTCTTTCAGCTTGTTTTACAGAGAAACTAAAAATGTAACAGCCATCTCCTGAACAGGATACAACCATTCAGAACTGAATAGGCAAATACTTTTCTAATGCTAGTCTTCGGATTATAAAAGAACACATAAGCACTGATAAAGCTCAGACACCAACATTCAGAAAGTAACATACGCATACATGTATAAACAATATGCTATAAAGGCATATATCTCTTTACAAGTTTACAAGTGGTGCGGACATCTGTGGGTTTCTCCCCATTTCCAAAAAGAGAAATTTCCGATAGAAAATGAGTCATCAGAAGAAAGAATTGCCCTGGAAGTAATTTCTCTAAAACAACACAAATGTTTTGTCTTAAAACCAAAGACCATGCTCTGAATGGCTGGATCTCGCTTCAGATGGAGCTCAGGTTGTTCAACTCACTCAAAGACCAGAAGAAACTTAACAAAGGGGGGGAAAGAAAGAGCTGTCAGCACAACTACTTCTTAAAAGTCTATTTATGTTTTTTTAGGTATTCAAACTAATATTACAACCCTGCTTATAAAAATATTTACAACTGTGGGTGCCCTTGTCATTGGGAAGATTAACAGAATGTCTTAATTGTTCACTCTAACTTCAGCATAAAGCATAGAACTCAGAATTCTGTGCCGCTTGGGGGCAGGCACCTGGCTGCTAGTTCTCTGACCCTCCAGCTGCACCAGTCAGCAGAGGCTCCCAGAGCAGGACCTGAACTGCAGTGAGTCATTAACCCTGCAGGACAATGCCTCTTTCTAAACAGTCTTGTGGCCAGGTGGAAGAAGGCCGATACCCTGGGCAGCTGTAATGATTAAACACCGGCTTTGTGACTGTTTTGCGCAAGGGTTAAAGATGCTTTGTCCAAAAATTTTTTTAATCACCTCAAGATGACAAACAAAACTTCACAGCACGATTCCTTTCTAATCTCCATCCCCATGGGGCCTCACTTTATTTTTCCTTCAACTAATTTTGCTTTTTACTCTTTTTAAATTCTACTTGACTTTGTTTTATACATTTATATATGCTGCTTTAAACCTCTCCTGGAGCAAGCAGGGTAAAAATAAATAAAAACTTAGGTGAAATAATTAACTACTGAGGTCTTTCTTTTAAGAAGAGAGGAGACAATGAATCACTGCTACCACAACGATGCAGGCTTTTTTCCCAAAACAGATTCACTCCCACAAAATAAACATCTAACTTTTGGATGCCTCTGAGGTTATTGTTCTCTGCTGCAACAGAATTGGCCTAGCTCAAAGCATTGAAGTCTAATAGATTAATTCCTCTCAAGTGCATCTTTTTTACATGCTTTTTATCTTTGTTCAAAGTCCAGTTAATTCTACCTGTGCAATGTGTTTAAATACTTTTTTCTTTTTTTTTCCTGACTGTATCCTGAAATTAGGAAACTCTTATCATACACACTTCTTTCCCAAAACATGACAGTATCAGAACTGATATGCATGGCAGCAGATTTAATGATACACCCATGAAGAAAAGTGAATATCACATTTTATAAATTAATATAAGAACTAGACTTAGACCTCTCCAAAATATTTATTTATAATAATTTCTCATTTGCTATTATTTAATACTAGAATTATAATAACCATATGGTAGTCTATCATTCTTACTAGCGTCAGGCGAGTGTATGCTCCTCGGTTTTTGTCTCGTCACAACAAAGATTTGGAGTGACGGGCATTAAAGCCCTCGGCATGCCACAGCTCTCAGGTCTTGGACAGACCGTGTTATAGCTCTTAGACAAATCAATGTTACAGCTCTGTTTTATTTAGAAGATAGCAGGAAAACCCATCCTCGAGGCGTGAGGGCATATTGACCCAAAGACGCCAAGAGAAGAGCACCCCAGCGTGCAGGAGAGAGAGCAAGCGAGTTAGCTTTGGCGCCTCTTTTTATATGTTTCTCTCTCCCTGGGCCTGTCCTATGTACATTGGGCCAGCCAGGAGTACTGTTTGTTTTACCTGAGGTCCTCACTCCGGGCCTCGGACCTTCCTTTGTTCTATTTTCTCGGGCTTTTCCCTTCCAGGTCTTTTAGCTACCACCATTTTGGACTCCTTTTCCCTATTTTAACTACTTAACACTAGTAACTTCATTATATCAGCTTTAGCATGACTTTTAATCTGGCTTTTGTGGGCTAATCTAAAAACTATGACTACATGACATTGGTCTTAAGAGAAACTACATTCTATGGAAACTATTTTATAATAATAATGAACATGTGGAATTAAAACACAATGCTTTTACAATCATGACAAAAATAACTTGATACAAACTTAACATATACAGATTCTGCATGCTGAAAATTTTAAAATGTTGATAAAATATAACCAAGGAGACCTAAATAAACAAATACACATATACTCTGTTCAAGGGTTGGAAGAGTCAACACAGTAAAGATGTCAGTTCTCCCCTAAAATGATCTCTAGATTTAATGCGATCCCTATCAACATGCCAAGGAGAATTTTTGGTAGAAAAAGATAAGCTTATTCTCAAATTTATAGGAAGAGAGGCAGACCTTAGTGTAGCTAAAACAATCTTGAAAAAGAAGAATAAAGTGAGAGTAATCTATCCCATATTAAGCCTTAGTAAAAAGCTATATTAATGGATTAGAATAAAGAATCCTGAAATAGACCACACAAATATAACTAATTTTTGACATAAGACACCATTTCAACAAATGGTTCTGGAGCAAATGGACAGGCATAGACCAAAATAAACAAACAAAAAAACTCTTACATCTAATCTTCACACCTTATATAAAAATTAGCCAAAGTGAAGCATGAAGTGTAAAATATAAAACTATGTTACTTTTAGGGGAGAAAAAAACAGGAGAAAAACCTTCAGGACCTAGATGAGTTCTTGTTCTCAACACCAAAAGCACTCAGTGTCTTAGACCTGGACTTCCCCAGTGGTCCAGTGGTTAAGAATTGACCTGCCAACTCAGGGGAACACAGGTTCGATCCCTGGTCCGGTAACATGCTTCAGGACAACTAAGCCCATGTGCCACAATTAGAGTCCACGCTCTAGAGCCCATGCTCTGCAACAAGAGAAGCCACCACAATGGGAAGCCAGAGCACCACACCTAGAGAGCAGTTCTGGCTCACTGCAACTAGAGAAAGCCCACGTGCAGAAACGAAGCCCAAGAGCAGCCAAAATCAAAATAAATAAACTTTTTTAAAAGAATATAAACCAAAGTTTAAAAAAAAACACAACTCATAAAAGGGAAAAATGATGCATTAGATTCATCACAATGCAAAATCTCTGCTTTTTCAGAAGATCACATTAAGAGGATGAAAAGACATGCTAGGGAATGGGAGAAAATATTTGTGGTTACATATCTGAAAAAGGACAGCTATAAAGAACACAGGAAGAACTCTCAAAATCAATAGCAAAAAAAAAAAGAAAGAAAGAAAAGAAAAAACCCCAATCAGTCCAATTAAAAAATGGGCAAAAGATACAATGAGGCATTTCACCAAAGATGATGAAAGACAGATGGAAAATTTCACGCTGAACACAAAAAGATGTTCAATGCTATTAACCATTCAAGAAACGCAAATTAAAACAATGAGATATCCCTACACACCTATCAGAATGTCAAACATTAAAAAAAAAACTGACTACACCAAGTGCTGGCAAGGAGAAACTCAACCACACATCACTGGTGGGGAAATAAAATGGTGCAGCTACTCTGGGAAACAGCTTGGCAGTTTCTTCAAAAACTAAACCTGCCAAACCAAACTACCACATGGCCCAGCAACTGCACTCCTTAACATCTATTCCAGAGAAATGGAAACTTATTTTCATAAAAATCCTGAATACAAATGTTCCTAGTAGCCTTATTCACAATAGACAAAACCTGAAAATGAGTGAGATGTCTTCGATGGATGAACAGCTAAATAAAAATTTGGTGTGGCCATACCATGGAAGTCTGCTCAGAAATAAAATGGAACAATCTACTGATATCTGCAGCAACCTGGAAGAATGTCCAGGGAACTGTGCTGAGTGAAAGAATGCTCATCCCCAAAGTTTAGATGCTGTTGGTTGCACTTCTACAACATTCCCTGAAAGATAACTGTGCAGATGTGAAGGACGTAGCAGAAGCCAGGGCTGGGTTGACAGGGCTGTGAGGCAGCATGAACAGTTCTTCCGCTGCTCTACCAACTGCATCAAACCCAAGTACCCTGGCGATAATCGTATTTTAGTTACCACTGGGGGTGAATGGGTCAAAAGTACACAGCACTCGCTCTCTCTGTAGTAATTCTTACAAGCACATCTGAATCTATTATCTCAAAATTAAAAGTCTAAACATCTTTTAAATATCTACTTCAAATGAAACTTCCAAATGCAACCCATTTGTAACTGGGTTACTGACCATAATTGTACTCTGAGTAAATCTAAGTGGATTTGCCTGTCATCAATGCCACCCTAAGAAATTCAAATTGGAAATATTTCTTTTCCCTTACAAGATGGAAATTCATAGCCCTAAGTAAAATATTTCATACAGAGGAAGAAATGGAAAGCATTGCTTTCCAACTGAGCATGTTTATATGGCAGGTTGTCTGGATACTGAAAAGAGCATCTCTAATTCCTGGGGCCTATCTAATAAACAACAGGATCCCTCCCCTTCATTTTCAGCAGTTCAGTCCACTGCTCAACATGATTTTCAAAACCTGATCAACCACTGAGAAACAAGAAAACTATTCAGAGAGGGAGGAGACCCGGCAATCTCAAAATTTCATCCCACTATAAACACAGAAAATAGGTTTTTAGAGTCAAGAGTTCTATAGTCTTGGAGGTATCATTCTTGCAAATAAAAGGACAAGATCAAAATCTAGCCTTCTGCATGGTGGGACAGGACGTCTGAGGGTCCTTCAGTGATCTTTATCCTCTCAGATGCCAGAATGTTAAACTTAGATCCAAATGCCCTGAATGACCCTCCTGAGAGCCAAACTAATTTGTGCTGGACTTTTGTGTTAGAAAGATCAGCTCTGGGGAAGCCACGTAATGCAGGTATAAGATGAAGCTTGTCTTCAGTTCATTGAATGAGGGCTTCCTAAGCCCAGGAATATCCGTGCTCCTCCCTCTCTTATCTCTAGCCCCCCAAGTTCCTCCTGCCCACCTCTACCTTCAAGCCGGTGCACACCTTATTTCTCCCTTCGTCATCACTCATATTCCACAACCACTGTCTCCTCTCCCACCCGACCCCAGTCAGGTTTACAATGGGATTCCAGCTCCCTCCACATCCCAGGAGCTGCTCCCCTAACCGTGGGCCCTCCTGGTGGACCTGGCCTCTATATAGTCTGACATCCTCTGCCCATTTCCACAGCCACCAAATCTCTGCTTCTCCCAGAGTGAGTTCTGTAACCCCCTCAGCAGAATTCCGGATGGTGCTGATCCCCGGGAGTTCAGAAAACCAGGATATGAGACAGGAGACAAATGATGCTATGCTTCTCCCCTCCCATCGTGACCCTGGCTCCTGCTTTGCTGGCTGATCACAGCCTTACACCCTCCCTTCCAGCCAGGACCACATCCTGATGCCTGGAGCTCAGCCTTCCTCCCTGCTTTCTACTTCCTCACCCCTTCTCTCAACTGCCTCTCGTCAGAACTACTGCAAGAGCCTCCAGCTGCATTTCCCTCCTCAAACTCATCCTCTCCACTCCTTCCAGAATGTGTATTAAGCAGCCTGACTGACTGCATCACTCTGGGGGTAATCTCCCAACTTGCCCCACCAGCAGTTCTCAGCATGGCTCGTGGTGTCTCCCTGGGCAGCCAGTTACTTCTCCTAGATGGAGGCTCATGTGACAAGCTCTGTGAATTTGAGGTTCTTGAAGACTAAATGTAAGCATGTCCCCACAAAAGACTCACTTTCACCCTCCTGCAGATATTCATCAGGAGGAGGGAAAGGGGTCAGGTTACACATGAATCCTGGGGCAATTGCACTTGATTCACAAGAGTCCCTTGGACAGCAAAGAGGTCAAACCAGTCCATTCTAAAGGAAATCAACCCTGAATATTCACTGGAAGGACTCAGGCTGAAGCTGAAGCTCCAATCCTTTGGCCACCTGATGGCGAAGAGCCTACTCAGTGGAAAAGACCTTGAAGAGGGGAAAGATTGAGGGCAAGAGGAAAAGGAGTGACAGAGGATGAGATAGTTGGATGGCATCACCAACTCACAGAACATGAGTTTGAGCAAACTCAGGAAGATGCTGAAGGACAGGGAAGCCTGGCATGCTGCAGTTCATGAGGTCGCAAAGAGTGGGACACAATTAAGCCACTGAACATCAACAACAGAGATGATCTCATGGACCATGATCTGCGGTGACTTACTGTGACGGATGTGTGGCTGACAGCTGTGTGATTTGAAAAGGCTGTCATGTCTCGTTCATGACCAACCAACTTCACGTTTGGATACATCCAGGATCCTGTGACACGTGCATACAACATCCGTGTGCTGGTGACAACCAGGCGGTTGAGGGTGGCTGGCCTGGTGGGTAATTCCAAAGTCCCTACTGTGACTTGGCCCCTCCCATCTCTTCAGTCCTACGTCCCAGCACCCCTCCACCCCTAACAGGTGACCACCAGAAACCACATTGACTGGGGTTGCTGATGCCGTTGAGACCAACCACACAGGCTGGTCGCAGAATTCCTTCCCTTCCTTGTCACTTAGAAAATCCCTCATTATCCTTTAAGGCTCAGCTGACTCTACTTCTTGATGAGCCCGTCCTAACATGCTCGGTGAATTCCAGCCTCTAGACTGTTCATGTCCAAAGGGCAGGGGCCCCATCTGTCTCTGCATCCATGGAATCCAGCAGTGTCCATCACTCCCTACACATAATAAATGTCTGTGACATGCCTTTAGGTCTCTTTCTAATTTTAATTCAGCGACATGCTCCTCTTTTTTTTCCAGGAGTAACCAATCAATACTGACTACCCCTCTGGAGTTAGAAAGTGACAAAGTGGCTCCTCGCTGTATAAGCAGGGAATGAAGGAGGTGGAGCCAGCTCATAGGCTTTTGGGCAGAAGCCTCACTGTCCAGTTTTTCCCCATGAAGCACCTATTTCCGAAGAGAGGAGGACGTCAGAATTTCAGCCAGAACTGTCAGTGTGCAGAAAGTAAAACAAAGTTCTCCGCCTGACTGCTCCTGCCTTCTGCAAAGTTCTGCTTTCTAAATGCCGATGAACTTGAGCAATCAAGAGAAGTATTTGTTTAAGCCACGCCTTTCCAGGGGTTGAAAATGCAAGCACCAGGGTCTGAAGTCTGTCCTCATTTCTGCTATGATGGGACCAGCCTTGGAATCACTTTCTTTTTCTCCATATAACTTGGGAACTAGACTTGGAATCACTTTCTTTTTCTCCATAAACTTGGGATTTCAACATCTGTGAGTAAAGACCAAAACATACCCCATCATCTCGTAACACCTACACTAATACACACCCATGACTCTGAGCCTGGGCTGCCTGGACCATGGACAAATAAATTTTTACTGTGGGTAGATTTTTAAAAAGCAAAAAGGGGTTTTTTTTGTTGTTGTTGTTTAACAGTATTTTTCAACCAATAAAGCACCCTCTCCCAGTTAGTCTAAATCAATCAATCAATGTCTGTCCGTCTCTCTCCCTCTCAAAGCTTAGGGAGAGCTTCACTGGTTTGGAGGACAATATTTCGAGCTCCAAGGTCATGTGTAGGTCACTGGCTTGGAACACCAGATGAGCAAGCCAAGCCCTCTCTCCCAGGCTGCAGCTTCAAGAGCAATGGGTGTGGAGCAACGCACAGCAGGAGCAGAACTGCTGGCCTCCTGGTCCAGATGAAATGTGAGTTTGCTGGGAGAGAGGGGGAGGCCTGGCCCGTGTTTTATGAGTCCTGGCTGCGGGCACACAGCCTCTCACAGGGCTGGACCAGCATTGCATTCCTGGACACCGCACTCAGAGTCTTGAGAGTAATCGGAGATGTACAGAGTGTGACCTACTCTATTTCGGCTGCTATAGATTTAAAAGTATGGGATTGCTGTTGATTCATTGCATGGCAGAAATGCACTAATCAGAGGACACTGGCTCAGAGGAATATGATACAGCAGTGCAGGGAGGCGCTTGTACACAGGAGAAGACCCAGAGGCTCTTTCCCTTCCATGAGGGGGCTGACAACACAAAGCATAGTACCAAAAGGGGTTCCCTTGAGAAATACCATAAGACATCCCTTATACGTGAAGTCTAAAAAGAAAGAAACAGATGAACCTACCGAAAAAACAGAAAGAGACTCACAGACATAGAGAACAAGCTTATGGTCGCCAGTGGGAGGGATGTGGGGAAGGGACAGTTAGGGAGTTTGGGATGGACATGAACACACTGCATATTTAAAATAGATAACCAACAAGGACCTATAGTACGGCACAGGGAACTGTGCTTAATGTTACGGGGCAGCCTGGATGGGAGTTTGGGGAAGAATGGATACGTGTGTGTGTATGGCTGAGCCCCTTCACTGATTGTTAATCGGCTATATCCCAATACAAAATAAAAAATCAAAAAAAGAAGGGGGTTTCCTTGGCTGACTCCAAACAAGAAGACAGAACGGACGGCCCTGACTTCTGCATGAAAACACGACGTCCCTGTGGTCCTCCTTGGGATGCTGTGTAAGAGTCCGTCTCTGCACCGGTTACAGAGGAGAACCGGGCGCAACATCCAGACCCCAGAGATACTCCGAGGACACAAAGAACGGGGCTGCTCACCCTGTAACCACGTCCCCCAGCCTCTGCACGCCCCGAGACCCCATGCAGCCCGAGGCGAGGGCACAGTGCGTGCGCTCTGCCCACCCCCGGGTTTCCGGCATCACAACCATTCTCCTTCTGCTCCAGAAACACAACTCTAAGCGATGGCTGCACACTGGGCCAACCCACAGAAGCCTAATAAACCTGTAATAAAGCGGAACCACAGTACAATAATTCTATAAAGCTGAACCACTATGCATTGTAGCTTCAAGTGTGTCTGTGGCTCCCACTGGAGATCCTGGCAGCACAAGTGGTGGTGACTTCCTACCCTAAGGATAATGCAGACACGGTTGATTTGGGGGCGGGGGACGGCACTGAGGAGGGCCCTGTCTGGACGTCCAAGTGTGCGAGAACAGGCTTGGAGGGTGGGGTCCACCGAGCAGGCAACATCAGGGCAGGGCTGGGTGGGGGTTGGGGTGCATGCGAGTTCAGGAGGAGGAATTTCTGGGGTAGGTGGACGATGCTGAAAACGGAAAAGTTTCAAGAAAAGAAAACAAGGGAATGATATGGAGATCCATTAAGTTCTGAAACAGAGTTTACTTTCTGATCGTTCTCATTTCACAGCCTCAGGTGACAACGTGGTCTCAGTCCAGAGGCCAGAGAAGTGCTGTTCTAGGTTGACTCCAAGGTCTGGTTTGGTTCTAAAAACCTGCGATTCTGTGACTCTGAGGCAAAGCACTGTCTCTTAGTCACCAGGGAAAAGTGGAGGGAATTATGAGAAAGAAGAGTGTAATATAGATGGTGGAAAGGGATCCAAGGAGAGATCAAGTGGGTGAGCACCAGGCGTTCCAGAGTGAGAAGTATTTATGAGACAGCAAGACAGGAAATAAAGATAAAAACCCTGGATCACACCTCAGCTCCCTCAAACAGGGACTCACTTGGTCTAGAGCGGACGATCCCTTCAAAGACCTCAAAGTCATCTGCTGGACTTGTTATACCAGCGTGAACTCCTTAGTAGCATCCATGGGGAAAACTCCCCTCGGAAGCTCTATTAGAAATGTCTGGTAACCTCATCTGTGGGATGGAACACACACACCTCATCAGAGTGAAGAGAAGAGAAACATGTTGGCAGATATATCCTCAAAGGATGATGCTTATTTAGGAGTTCTTCCAGGTTCTCCCCGGGACTTCCCTGTTGACTCAGACTGTAAAGTGTCTGCCTACAAGGCAGGAGATCTCCTGGAGAAGGAAATGGCAACCCACTCCAGTATTCTTGCCTGGAAAATCCCATGGATGGAGAAGGCTGGTAGACTACAGTCCATGGGGTCACAAAGATTCGGACACAACTGAGCCACTTGACTTTCCAGGTTCTCCCAAGTCCTTAGCGTGGCCCACATTCCCACCTTGGTGCCCTGGGAATGTGAATTCCACCAGGACAGAGATTTTTGTCTGTTGTGTAGACGATTTCATTTCTGGTACCCCAGAACAGTGCCTCACTCACTTCAGTCACTCAGTCACGTCCGACACTTTGTGACCCCATGGACTGCAACACACCAGGCTTCTCTGCCATCACCAACTGATGGCAAGCCACTTCAGTATTCTTGCCTTGAGAACCCCATGAACAGTATGAAAAAAAAACAGTGCCTAGCTGGTAAAGAATCCTCCTGCAATGTGGGAGACCTGGGTTAAATCCCTGGGTTGGGAAGATCCCCTGGAAAGGGAAAGGCTACCCACTCCAGTATTCTGGCCTGGAGAATTCCATGGACTAGTTCATGGGGTTGCAAAGAGTTGGACATGACTGAGTGATTTTCACTTTCAAGACACAGTAAAAGCTCAATAAATGTTTGTGGAGGAAAGGGATGAATAACATCTATTTTACAGGGAAAGTACCAGACAGAGTTTTTTTAAAAGTAAAAAAGTTTTTTCGTTACCCCTCACTGCTCCCCCCGCAGTCCCTAGTCTGTGATCACAGTCCTGCTCGCTTCAACAAGACAGTTTCACAAGTCTGAATTAGTTCAACTCCTTTCCACATACCAAAATCTTTGGGGAAGAGTTTCCTTATTAGATGAGGGCTGATTTCCCTGCTGGGCTTCCTGGCAAAGGCCTCAGTGCATTCTGATCTTTTAGCATCACTTATGCAAATCCATGGCACCTGGACTCCCCGCACCGGGAGGCCTGGCTTGCAGGCCTTTTTATAAGCTAATTGCATGGTGAGCCCTTAAGACAGGACTCCTAACTGGGCCTCTCCCTAAATATTTTCTGCTGATGGCCAAGTGGGCAAGCTTGGCCTTTTTCTCCCTAGAAACACGATCCTGCTTTCTATACCAACAAGTATTAATTCAAATCCCCAGTGGGCAGTCCAGGATATGAAAATTACAGTAATCTAATCTTGTAGAGGAAGACGCATGAATCATCATTACACGGTCTGACAAAGAGCTAAGTGATTAATCCCAGGCTGCACAGAGGCTGGGGTCCACAGCCATGGCTTCCTGGGGGCTACAAACCAAACAAGGGGAACCACCCAGCAAACATCAAGGAGGACAGCATGGTGTTCATCCCAAGGGCACATGCTGGAAGTCTCCTCATTGTTTGGAAAATTCTGTGACTGATGGGCCAGAGGAGCTGCAACCTGGGGCTCAAAACTCTTATCTTCTAATTCCAAGAGTCAACTGCTTAGGCTCTGAGGTTTAATTTTAAGTAGAAACTGGGAGGTTTGCAGAATAATGGCTTCTCAGCAAGTGACTGGAAACCCTAATGGTCTCCAGGGAAAACAAAAGACTATGGCCAGGACAAGACAGGCCAGTAACCAGGATGTACTCTGCACCACATCACAGGAATCTACCTCGCTGAAGGAAGGTCCTGATCTTGTCCTGAAACTTTTAAAAAGAGCACTGGAGCTCCCAGCTTCCACCCAGAAACCGCAGCCCCAACACCCTGGGAAACTTGGTCAGGGCGCCCGCAGCCCTGAACCATCACTCCACTTTCTTTCCCCCCCTCCCCTCACTTTTTCTCTTACACAGCTGTGTTCAATTTTCTGTCCTTGGGGTTTTTAAAGGAACATTTATTCTAGGGCCAGGATTCTCCAGTTTTATGGTTATACAACTCCCTCCCAGGGCCAAAGAATGTTTGAAAAGCCTAAACCCGGCAGAGAGAGTTAGTAATAGTATCCAAATGAAAGTGAAAAGTCCAGACTTGTTCCAATTTCGATTCAGCCGCTTACTTGATTATATTGTACCTTCTGTTTGCCCTTCAAGACGCTTGCTACCTACTGTTTTTAAGTCAGAATATAAGTAGGGTGTATATATGTCTGTGTGTATGCATGTCTTTGTGTGTGTCTATGAGGGCATGTGTGTGTCTCTGTCTCTGTGTGTATATGTCACTGTGTATGTTTGTGTGTGTCTGGGACCAGGTAAGGTACAGAGAAGTCCAAAAGTGTATTTATATTCTTCCACAGTTAGTTTCCTACTTGACGGTAAATTTTATTTGAAATGAGACATTCATCATAAATTGGATTGAATAAAAGATCACAAAGAATGATGCCTGAAGGATTTTTATGGGCTTGTTTATTTTTCCTGCAGAGAGAGCCAGACAGTACTAGGTTTTTGGTAGTAGGACAGCAGTTTTTTGTTTTTTATTTTAAAGAACCCTAGTTTTTACTTAAACAGTCAAACTAGTGGCATTGCTAGCTAAAATGCCCGAAGCTAAGTACATTATCAACATTCAAAAAGCAGAGCCCACTCCCCTCACCAAACATATACAAACATACACACACACACACACCCCAACCCCAAGAAAAGAGCACAAGGCCCCTACGAGGCTTCTAAAATGCAGCCAAAAGGAGTAATCTCAGAAAATCCAGAAGTCCTTACCTGGCTTCTCCTCTCTTCCTGTTACCTAGAGTCCTAAACCTCAGAGAAATCTGCCCAAAGGCTCTGTCTACACAGGTTCACGAACATCCTCCCCCCCTTTTTTTTTGGTCCCCTGGAGTCTCCCAGGGGCCAGCCGCTGGCTTCATACACATCCCACCTCCCCAGTCTGATGGACAAAGCAAAGTTCAGTCTCCCGGGCTGAGGTCTGTGACACAGCACACACCACCCACATGAGAGGTCT